CCTCCTCCTCCTCCTCCTCTTCCTTTTGATTACAGGCAATATGGAGAACACCGCATATGTCTGTCTTCAGGGGCAGACACTGAGTTTTCCTCGTGTGATAAGTGTCAAAAGGAATACCTGCTATTGTATTACTATATTCCTGGAGACTAAAGCTACATTTAGCATTTTTGAGTTTGTATATACATGTTCATACAGAATGAATAAAGTTGTTGTTTTCTTCTGCAGTTCCATCCTTCCCCACATGGAAAGGAGGATAGCAAAAATAGATACCTCCATGTTGGTTTGATTTTGAATAAACTGAATCCTACTGTTCAAAAATTAAATTGGCATCTCCAATATATAGTGCTCTCAGAAGTATTTGGTTCTGAAGCTTGGTTCAGACAATGCACCAGGATGAAACGGCCAATTTGTGACTCAGTTTGTTGCACAAACCTCACCCATGTTGTTATTTTATGGTTCCATATCTTATACATGTCCAAATCACTGTGATCCTTCTGTGAATGATGGCTGAATGTGAATGCAACCTGAATCATTGTACTCTGTTTGTTGCAATTCCTTCTCCTCTCCCTCTATACAATCTATACACAACCTGTCTTCACATATACCTCATCCCTTACCTGCTTCAAAACTAATTGTGACTCTGGCCCAAGTCACAGTACTAACTGAAAGTTCTGAGGTCTACTATCTCTGTTGAAGGACTGGAATTCTCTCAGGTCTTCCCAACTTGGTGCCCTTCAGTTCTTATGAAGCCCAACTTGTACAATTAGACTTCATAGGGGTTGAAGTCCAACACTTCTAGAAGGCATCAAATTGAGGAAGGAAGACTGCTGAGGACTGCAAGTAAAGTAACAGTCTGTGAGCAGCTACACCAGGTACAGTATCTCTAAATCACACACTGCCATCTACTGGCAATGAAGTCATATTTATTACAGATCAGCTCTGTAGTTTGATCGTTACACCCAGACACATCCTTATTTTTATTGGGCTAGGTATCTGATGTTTAGATGTCTCTCAGTGTAAACCCATTTACCTCTGTTCTCAACTCCCTAACCCTTGCCCCCTTTTAGCATGTGTCATGAGTATTGTTCACAACTGACTGATCAGTCACACTCGAATCCAATGACTATTGCTACAGAAGGCCCTGGAAGCAACTGTCATCCCCAAGACTTGGCCAGTGCTAAGTCAAGTTAGTAGGTCCTAAGATCAAATGAGAAGCAAAAGAAGGTAGAGAGGAAATACATCTAAAGATTGAAACTTAGTCTGAGCCCCCTTCCTCAATACCGTTAAATAAAGTCCCATCTTTTGTGCCACAAACAAGGCTTGTTTTATTTAGACTTAATAAAAATAAAAAAAAAAAGAGCTGAAGCTAGTTCAGTAAAAAACTGACCTGTAATTTTCCAGAACAAGCCATTTTACATGATAGAAGCTCAATTAGAGTGCTGCTAAGAGCCCTGTGGCTACATTCTCAAAAACACATCCTGGACTCACAACTGCTGCTTGAGGAGCAGGGGGTGGTCGTGCCTAGGAGGGCCTTTGCTCAAATCTGTGTTGTGTGCCAGTTGTGTCCTTCCTGGATCGGGAAGCCCTTCTCTCAGTCACTCATGCCCTGGTCATCTCCCATATGGACTATTGGAATGCACTCAACATGGGGCTACCCTTGAAAAGTATCTGGAAGCTGCAGCTGGTGCAGAATGCAGCGGCAAGGGCAGTTATGGGTGGCTCTAGGGCTGCACATGTAACAACTCTGCTGTGTGAGCTGTATGGGGTGCTGGTTTGCTTCCGGGTCCAATTCAAAGTGTTGGTTATGACCTTTAAAGTCCTTTGTGGCATGGGGTCAGGTTACCTGAGGAACTGTCTTGTCCTGGTTACATCAACCCATTCCACCCGGTCCAGCAGGAACAGCATGTTACAGACCCCGTTGGCTAGAGAATTTCAACTGGCGGGGTCTAGGAGGAGAGCCTTTTCTGCCATTGCCCCCACCCTGTGAAACATCTTCCCCCCAAGGTAAGATTGGCGCCCAGTCTTCTGGCCTTCCAGAAGAGCATTAACCTGGCTCTGCCAACTAGCATAGGGACCCAGTAGGGGTTCGTAGTACTGGTGGTGGTTGGTGGCTTGAGGATGCTCTCTCTCTCTGTTAGCTTGGTATATTTTTGTAAAGATTTTTATTGTTTTTTAATCACTTTTTTACTTATAAGCCACCCAGAGTCACTTATACAGTGAGATGGGCGGTATATAAATTTGATTAATAAATAAATAAAACACATGCCATTCTAAAATAGGGCATTAACTGGCCTCTTTTTTCCAGATACTTTATTACACAACACAATATCATCAGAGAGAGAGATACACACACATATGATTTTAAGAAGAAATACTTCATATTAATAAACGTTTCTGGCAACATGGCATTTGTAATGGTGAAACATGAAAAAAAAATGCTTTTGCTTGTAAAAATGTCATTCTACTAGAGTGACATTTGTTGTTGATTCATTTTCCATTTTCATTCTGTATTTTCATTTTTTACTTTGCAATAAAAAGGTACAAAATTTAAAAACTCACCTGAATATTGGTATTAAACTACAACAAAATCATCTTATGTTAATGACACCTGCAGGTATCAATTAATTAGATTCCGTATCTGAAGTCACCTGTTTCCAAGGTCTCCCTTCTTCCAAGAAATAGCTGGCTGGGATTCAGCCATAGCCATTTAATCGACCAGAATCCAACCCTCACCCTTTACCTCAAAATCATATGGAGAGCATAGTCTCCTTTTAATACTGGCTTTTTGCATTATCAAGAGATTCTTGAGAGCTTACTATTTTTATTATACTATAGGGTCATCTGATAGCAGTGGCAAAAATGAGGGCTCCTTGATCCCCAGACCTTTAAGAGTCAGGGTCATTCACCTCATTTAGGAGCAGGCATTTCCAGCCCTACCACTCTTTCTAGTGTTTGTGTTTTTCCCTTTCAATTTGGCCATTCGGTCAGCTGTTGAAATCTTGGAACAGGAGCAGTAGATTCAGAAGACAGGAGGAAGCAAACACTCTGGCCAAAATGATCACAGTGGCACAGGTCCATGCACCTTGCCACAAAAGCACTGATGCATGCCATTCTGATCCATGTATCATATCTTAATCAGAAAAGCCATTGAAGATGGCTAAATCATTTGCATGATACATTTATTTAGGAATTACTGGAGGTTACATGTATTAGTGTATGCAGGTTGGCTGAGCTTCACCTCAAAATGGTCCTTTGTGTTTAAAAGGCTACACATTTTGCCTTGAGACATTTTTCATCAGTCCAAGACCTCATCCAACAATTCTAGTCACCAGAAAAGGCTTTAAAAGATGCAACAGGGAAAATGGCCAGGAACTATTTTCCATTGACACAGGAACCAGGACCAGAAATAATGGTGTAGGTTGCAATTGCCTAGGTTTTCTTTGTAAAAAAAAAAAAAAAAGCAAGTGCCAATGGTGAAAGCTGTGCAACAGTGAAGCAGTCTGCCTATGAAGCTTGTGAGTCCTCATCTGTAGAGATTTTTAAGAAAAGGCAAGATAACCACCTCTTAAGGATGGTTTAATTGGTTTTCCTACACATTGCAAAGGATTGGATTAGATGGTCCTTGTGGTCCCTTCAGAATTCTACAGTTCTAGGGCATTTTTTCCTCTTTATATAAGTCTGTGCAAAGATATAGCTCATTCACCATAGAGTGTATAGAATATGGTCACAAAATTTCCTACAACTGTAACTTATCAAATCTGAGAACAAGACTGAGCTAAATTATAATGCGCTGCATTACAACTTTATCAACTCTGGAACACCATCCCCCTTGAGATTAATTGGCCCTGACCCTGATGGCTTTTTGCAAGGCCTTAAAAGATGTGGTTTTGTCACCAGACCTGGGTATCCGGATGTGTGTCACAGCCTATGCAACGGTCCTGTTGGTGGTGGTTCTTTTTACCTCTGCTGCTTATTGTATTTGTGATGTTTTTATATTGTTCCATGTTTTTGTGCATTTTTAATTGTTAGCCACCCAGTCATGGATTTGAAATGGCAGCCATATAAACTGAGAAAGAGATAGTAGGGATGCACAAAATGAAGGGAAAATATTCTAAGCTGATAGTAGCCATTTCAAGTATTCCAAGTTCAGGGCAAAATAGGGCACTTTATTCCATTGTTTTAAGTGTGCTGATATCCTACAACAGATTTTTACATAGCAGCTACATTTTTGCTATTGGGAATTTAAAAGTTCATGGGCTGTTGTTTCTTGTGCTTTCTTTCTCAACCAAATTGCCAAATGCAAATGTATATACTGAGCATATTAATTACAGGCAGTATTGCTATGTATTGTGCTTCCAAGTTCCATATGCCAAAATGTTGCTGTTTGTTGAGCTTTGCAAGCCAGCTGCCAAATGCAAAAATGTTCTCTGTAGATTGAATTTGTAAGTAAAAGTGAGCAGAAAATGTTATTTGTTCTGCACACAGAATAAACACACTGAGGCTCAGAAATTCAGCTGAACCATTTAGGGTAAGTAATAGTCCAGCTGAATCAAAAAGCGTCATCAGTTTGGTTGTTCTGGATTTCAGCCAAGACAAAATGTGGAGAACTCTTACAAAGTAAGTAAGCCATGGCTAGTGTGCTTCACCCTCTTCCTCTACATGGCGTGTGTACCTGCTGATTCTCCCAGCACTTCCGTTCCCCTTAGCCCAGCATACCTGGCCAACTCACCAGGCTTTCTCCCCAGTCTTCCCAGCAGGTTATTTCCCTTAGTGATTGTTGCCATACAATGCAAACAGTTTGTCTCTTTCCTGCAGTCTTAATTGCTGTTTCATTATGGCCTTTGGCTGATTTCTCTGCAAGCTGGCTGGTAATTGGCACTCACATGGCAGACAACTCAAATCTTGGAACTTCAAACAAAGTGACTTTTATTTCATCCATACGCCCCCAAAGTATGAAAAATTACACAACTTGGTAAAAGAAAAACATTTAGAATGGTGAGTTGTATGAGTAAATACATATTTATGATACATGAAATACAGCAGTCATATCCAATTCCCAAATTACATACGCAGGAGAAGCAGCACACAGTACCTGAACATCTGTAAGAGTCCCAAAAGAAAAAGTTAGTTATGTGTTACAAAACACCCAAGAGGTGTACAGTATGTTTAGCAGTTAGGTGAAGAGCTAAAGACAAAAAGACAAAAGACAAAAACAAAACAAAACAGCCCTGTTCATTTGCATAATAGAATTCAGATGATACACTTTAGAGTTCAGCACTTTCAGAGTTACTCTCTGCCAAAGGTCTTTCCTGGGTCCAGATGACAAAGGCAACCATTGCAGCCATGTGACTGTCCTGTCATCATCTGCTTGAAACATAGTAACATCTGAACGGATTACTATGATTATTTAAAATCATGTAATTCTAAAAAAGATGGCGACATTTGAAGCTGAACTTCCACCTTTTGCTTTTCCTTAGTTTTTCATAAAGCTGTAGTTTATACTTAAGTCAATATCTCTTCCTGAAAGGTAAACCCAATACACGAATTTGTATTATACATGTATAGGCCACGCACAGATGCAGGACAAATTCTTCACATTTTGAGCCTTCCCCAAGCACACACACAATGTTTTATGTACAGCAGTATGTTTATAACAATTCCTGAACTTAAGGTGCATAGGCAGATGAAGCCTTACTTTGTAAAGAGAACAGCTTATAAATTTTGCTCATAAAATGACATGGCAAAAAATGCCTTGTATGTTATCAAAGTCTTTTCACAACATAAACAAGTTTAAAATAAAGTGTAAACTTGACTTCAAAACCAGAAAGATAACCCTGCCACCCTAAATCAAATGTATTTCCAGTATATATTCTTCCAAAAAGATCTCCCAACTTTAAAACAAAATTCCTATATATATATGTGTGTGCGTGTGTGTGTGCACATATATGTATATTTATACATACATACATACATATTTATACATGCACACGCACATACACACACAAACACATTTATAACTTAAGTGTTGTTTGCTGTAATTTCTTTCATGCAAGAAACAGGACCTTCTTAGAGAGGCCTTTCTGAAAATGCAGTAAAGCTCTTCACTCGTGCAAAGAACAAAGGGGTGTACATCTTGTCAATGTCAAATGAAGAGACTGCTGTCTCACCAGTAGATCTAAAAAAGAGAAAACAGTGATAAACAGACCTGCCTTACAACTTGCCTAAATGGAAAGGACTGGCTTAAATAATATACTTGTGCTGATTCTGTACTGTACTGTATCTTATATTAAGAAAATGTTTTACCTGAAACCAGAGCACTTTTACATATACAGCTACTTTGCAGAAAAAGCAAAGAAAATGGCACTGGGCACCAATTTCCTGAAGAACTTATTACATAAAACACATTATGGTTCCAAAATAATACATGAATGTATAGTTCTACTGCAAAGAAATGATTGTATAAGAATTCTAGTGGTTAGAAGAGACTTCCAGGCATGTATACCACTTTCCCATGCCCATGATTTAGGAGAATAATCTGCAAACTATTAAAATACTGCAACATAATGCAGCAAGAGATATCATACTAATTTGTTTAACTGAGTATCTACTTGTCTGATCCATTCTGGCAGGTGGGCACGCTCCGGTTTCTTGGATTAAAAAGTGCCAACTATCAGGACCCCAGAAGCCCACCTTCTCTGTAGCAGCTCTTGCCCTCTGGAATGAGGTTCTCCACAAAATTTAAATGGCTCCCATCCTACTGGTGTTTCAAAGGGTCTTGAAGATGTGGTTCTTCGCCCAGGCCTTTGGTGAGGATGACTGAAGCCCCCTTTTTTTCTTGTTCCCATCCAGTTTTGTCATTTCTGGCATCTTCATTCTTTTTTGCTTTTTCCTTGTTTTTAAACATTTTTAACAATTTGTAAACTGCCCAGAGTCACTGGGAGTTGGGCACCACATACATTTATTATTATTATTGTTGTCACACTGTCAGCCAGATGTTTAGACTGGGTTTGGCATTTTTATCCACCTATCGAGCCCTTCCCAAGGACCTGGGATAGGCAGATGTTTGTTGGTGTTAAATGTATCGTCGCAGGATGTAAGCTGTTCCAAGTAAAGCTGCCTTTTGCAATTGACTGATGGTGACTTTGTCAATGGCAATGGTCTTCAGGTGGTACTCCAGATGTTTTGGGTTTGCACCCAAGGCACCTATTACTATTGGTACTATCTTTGCTTTCTTTTGCCACAGTCATTCT